ATTTGCACATGTATTTTTTACAGTTCATTGCAGTGCCAGATGATTGTTGGAAGGAAGATGAGCCAAGTTTTGTGGCGTAGGGTCTAGGATAGTTGGACATCATTGAACATCCACCCGACTTGAATGATAATGTATACTGTAGATGATGATGAACAAGGACCAATCATCCCAAAATAAGCCAACATTTTGGGTTGGCAACTGAAATTTATTATAAATTATTCAGCCAGACCCCCATTCCACAGCAGCAGTTTGCCCTGACCTTCTTTAAGGTTTGACAAAAGGACAAAAGGGCACCCAACAGCTTGACTGATGTTTATTTGTGTACCAGTAGTACCGCACAAGGCAGTGGCGGAAGTTTCAAAAATAGGAAACCTATAGGGGAGGTTGGTTGTTTTGAATCACGGATGGCAGAGCGAATCCACTGATGGACCGACAGGTGGTTGGAGTTGTGTTTTTTGGAATGGTTGCAATGGTTGCAGTGGTCACCTTACCACAACTGCTGGATGAAGTGTGGTGTAGCGCAGTTGTACTTGCAGTTGTAGCTGTAGTTGTAGTGTAGTGTAGTGGAGCTGTAGCTGTAATGTAGTGTAATTAGTGTATTTGCAAGTGCAGTTGCAGTTGTAGCCGTGGTGTGGTGTAATTAGTGTAGTGTACGTGTAGTGTTGTGTAGTGTAGTGTAGTGTAGTGTGGCATAGTGTAGTGTAGTCTAGTAGTGTAGTTGTAGTTGTAGTTGTAGTGCGGTGTAATTAGTGTAGTGTAGTTGTAGTTGTAGTGTAGCGCAGTGTAATTAGTGTAGTGTAGTGTAATTAGTGTAGTTGTAGTTGTAGTTGTAGTTGCAGTTGTAGTTGTAGTTGTAGTTGTAGTATAGTGTAGTGTAGTGTAATGTAGTGGTAGTTGTAGTTGCAGTTGCAGCTGCAGCTGCAGTTGTACTTGTAGTTGTAGTGCAATGCAATGCAATGCAATCAGTGTAGTGTAGTGTTGTGTAATGTAGTGTGGTTGTAGTTGTCGTTATGTTTGTAGTTGTAGCGTGCCGCAGTGTAATTAGTGTAGTGTAGTGTAGTTGTAATTGTAGTTGTAGTTGTGGGAGTAGTAGTAGTTGTAGTTGTTAGTATAATTGGTGTAGTGTAATTAGATGTAATTAGTGTAGTGCAGTGTAATGAGTGTAGTTTAATGTAGCGTAGTATATTTGTATTTGTAGTTGTGGCGGTAGCCTAGTGTAGTGTAGTGGTAGCTGTAGTTGTTGTAGTTGTAATTCTCTATCTATCTATCTATCTACCTATCTATCTATTTATCTATCTATCTATCTATCTATCTAGTTTATCTAACTATCTATCCTATCTATCTATCTATCTGTCTGTCTGTCTGTCTATCTATTTACCTATCTATCTATTTATCTTTCTATCTATCTACCTATCTATCTATCTATCTATCTATCCACCGATCGATCGATCTATCTCTCTATTTTTCTATATATCTATCGATTGATCAATCTATCTATCTTTCTATCTATCTATCTGTCTATCTATCTATCTGTCTATCCATCTATCTATCTATCTGTCTATCTATCTATCTATCCTATCTAATCGCTCCTATCTATCAATCTAATCTATCCTATCTATTCGATCTATCCTATCTATCCTTTCTATCTATCTATCTATCTATCCATCCTATCTAATCGCTCCTATCTATCAATCTAATCTATCCTATCCTTTCTATCCTATCTATTCGATCTATCCTATCTATCCTTTCTATCTATCTATCTATCTGTCTGTGTCTGTCTATCTGTCTATCTGCAAGCTTGAAAATGAAGCTATTCTGCGAGACGTCCGCAGTTTTTGAACTTGACAACATCAAAAACGCAGCAATTCAGCGAGACTTCCTCAATTTTTGCATTTGACAACGTCAAAAACGACGCAATTCTGCGAGACTTCCCCATTTTTTTTAAGTTGACAACATCAAAAACGAAGCAATTCTGCCAGACGTCCTTCAAACATGGAAAGTTGAGTGCAGAGCTGACGGCCTCGTGCCATTGCGTTTTGCGATTTTTCAACACCATCTGTCTAAACTACTGCGCCTGCAACGAAAAAGTGATACCGGGTCATACGAAGTGCTACACCTGTCACGCAAAATCGTCTCAGCAAACCTCACAACGGCGTGCAATTTTTCATCTCTCGTCTGCACAGCAGGCTCCGCACCCGCCGCTTTAGCGAGCCTACTTTTCGACCCTCCGGAGCCACAAATCATTGGAAAAACACAGTGTTTCGGGACTTTCCTACCTTTTCGCGCACCTGGATCTTTTTTCTGAGACTTTCTCTTTTTTGATCTTCTTTCTTCTTCTCTTCTCTTCACTGACTCTTCCCATCTCTGCTTTTCATCTGTCCATATTGTCGGAAGTTTGACCTCTAAAATTCCTTCGATCAGCAGTCTGGGTTCTTGCAACATGATAGTGGCAATGCTTTTGATGTTGCCCACGTTATTTACATATACTTGCAGAACCACCAAGCCAAAAGAGGGGGGTGGGTGTAAAAACCTATGATGGATAGGAGTTTGTCCACAGATTCATCCCACTCCATCCAATGGTGCAGAAAATCACATTTCCATACATTTCCCAATTGGCCTAAGGAAGATCTATCCACCCATCCGTCCATCCATCCATCCACCTATCTAGTAACATACAGTAAACGCTGCCAAAAACCATGGGTTTCTTGTGCGTGAACTTTTCCTGATATTAGGGGCGCGCAAACGCGTTTGCTTTAACTTGTGACTGTCCTTCCATCTGCAAACAGAAACTAACAACTATTATGTAGAAGTTCGCAGCAAAATGAGTGAAACGGGAAAACAAAAAATGTTTCAGTAGTGAGAGCAGGACCACTGAGAACGATTCGACCACAGGAACACTCAGCTGACCTGTAAAATTTGGGAGAGCAACTCTTTCTCTGGAAGGTTTGTAGTTGCAGAGGGTGGACAAAGGCGTCAAATGTCATTGGTCTCGGATCTTTCCCATTCTTTGTGTCGGCCAAGGGTTCGAACAGATACTACGAAGAAATGGGGTTTGTCAATGAGAAATCCTGGACCACGTGCAGCAGGAGCTTGGAAAAACATAGAATTCTGTATAAGATTCTGTGATAAGAAGTGATAAGAACTGATAAGATGCCAAACCTTTACACATGGAGAGACCGCATGCGGTTTGAAATTCATGTAAGCAGCGTCTAACAACTCTAACCAAAAATATCCAAACATGGGCTTGAAGAGCGGAGCCAGGTGAACAGGGAAGACATTTGTGGTTCAGCTGTTCTGTTGATTTTTGTGTTTCCTAGTTGTTTCTACGGGAAAGGTTTCCTCACAGTTCATTGCAGGAGTTGTGGTTAAGCGTCTTGGCTTCAGCAGAGTCTTGCGCATTGGACGTATGTTTCCCTTGGAGTGGCTTGATGTTTTTGGGATGTTTTGGATGTAGATAGCTGTGATAGCGAATGTTTGAATGTTTGATGATGCTTCATCATGCTCATGCTATGGCATTTGATGACTTTCTATTTGCAGCCGAAAGGAGGCATAATTTACGTGACATAATCTGAAGATAGCTAATTGGAAGCAAACATTTGGTGCAGCTTCTTTTGAGTTAACCGACCTGTCACTGTATAAAAGTATAGTTTGGAGTAGCCTGACCATGATCTGCAGATTCATGACACTCATGTTGCAATTCTGAATGGAGCCGCAGCTGAGTGAAATCAGAGAAGCTACTCCTGCACACGAATGGAATTGCGAAGTGCCACTGTCGCCTTGGCTGCAGGTGAGATTTGGGTGGCTAGCCATGTCACCCATGGTTCTTTAACATTCGTTCACCGGTTGGTTCAACCGGTTGGTTCACCGGTAGGTTATCCGGTTGGTGAATTGGTTGAACCAACTTGTTTTGTGGTGTGCTTTCTAGTGACACGATGTGGCGGTGTTGAGGAAACCATGGCGGATCAAGCTGCTTGGGCGCAGATTGGCACGCTCCAAGGTTCAGAAGGTTTGGACTTGGACAGGACCTACCCGAAGAACAGCTAGGACATTTTAATACAATGGTGCAGAGCGATTCCAGATGATATCTTCCTTATATGATATATGTGCACAAAGGGCGAAAATGCATGATGGGAAACATGTGTTTGATAAACCCTACCACGGATGTGTATGGTGACTCTATAAAGTGCATCTGTTGTTTTCTTGCGAAATGCTGCTTGCCATAGAGTACCATCCGAGGAAAGAAGATGTCCTCCTGGCCGTGAATAGCTGCTCGGATACATTGCGCTGTGCTGCATTTTTTCGGCTTCAGCCAGCGATCAACCTCGAGAAGTTGAGGTGAAGTTGTCGACGTAGCGAATTACAAGGAATGTCTGGCACAGGCAGGTCTCTATGTGACTTGTCGAAATCAGTCTTGCGCACATCCACATTGCATGGAGATTGGAATGCACATTGGTATGCACATGCATATCATGCATTGGCTCCACTTGTGTCACCAAGGCCGAGCTTCTTTTCATGAGACCGAGACCAGAAAAGCCCCAAGCCCCAGTGGACCCAGCGCAAAGCTGAGGAGGTCCTACCCACCATAGTTCCCGTGCGGAACAGAGCTGTAGATAGCTGTAGCCAGCTGAAGGTAGCTGAAGATAGCTGAAGGGTTATCGAAGAGTGAATAGCTGTAGATTTGTTTCCAGAGCCTTTGGACTTTGGACGACAGCGCCTTAGAAAAATATTGAAGGCATCACCACGGGTTATCCACGTTGGAGTGGCCGTAACATGTGTCGAACCTAGGTAGTTTGGTGACATTTGGTGACTATCAAGTCACTATCCTTGCCCTATTTTTGTATATTTTTGTCACATGACAGGATGAAAAATTGATGTTTGCTGCATTTTTGTTGCCAGGGGAGCCACTCTTGTATCTCGTGGTGGAGGATAGATAAGGGATGCTGGCAGAAGCATTTGCATAGCTCATGGCCAGAATCATTTGGAAGGAATTGAAGAGATGGACCTTTGAAATGCAGGGCTCATTGCCTATGATTTGGAAGGGATTGGGGACTGGAAACTCTAGAGACAGGCTATCGATCTTTAAGTGGCAGGTGGAACATCAGAATGGGAAGCAATTGCAACTTTTTTGAGTCTCTATGATTCGGCGGGCAACTTGCAACGACACGATTTGAGTTTACATTGTTCACACAACTTGCAACGACATTGTCCCCAAGGGCTTTGCATTCTTCTTCCTGGCAATTCTGCTCGATGCTGCAATCCACAGGCGCTGATTTGGCACAGCATAACATGCAGCACAGCTGTGCCACATCTTCTGGGTGTTTCTTAAAGTGCCCAGCAAGTCTTCGCTTTGTCTTGATTCAACATGATACGCGAGGGGATGTCGAGGTGACATGCCTTTCCGAAAGGTTTTTGTTTTTCTTTTTCCATCTTTTTCCCATAAAGTGGTCGCTTGTGGGCGTAGCGCGTAGAATTCATTATCTATATACAGCTACATAAATGATACATATACTGTAGTTACAAAAGGAATTACGAAAGAGACGTGCCAATGGGACACTTTCACGATAAGTATTGGCATCCGCTGAAGTAATCACAGTCTCTGTCTATGGCCATATTGCAGGAAGGTCGTGGCAGAGTCTGCCTGTGTCAGTTGTGCTTGCCAGATCTACTCAACAGAATTTGATTCTCAGCCTCTGTGACCTGCGAGTCCTCGTCTGGCACGGCAAGTGGATGCTGCGACCTGTCGATACCGCCTGAACCAATTGATGGCGGGCATCGGATGGCCTCGGGATGCGATCTTTGGGAAGCTGTTTCAACTATCCGGGTCACGGTTAGGTGAGGGAAGACAATATACAGTACATCTTTGATACATCATCGTTATGTAGACTTGCCCAGATTTCGCTGCAATTCCCAGTGCGACAGTAAGAGAGCAACGAAGTAAACGAACTTGGTGACTGGACAAAGTCGGAGACCGGCAATGTGGTGTTGTTTATGAGACATCAAACGACATGGCTCATCAAAACTCTTATGCGTGGGAGTCGGTGTGCTCTCCTTGTGACAGGAGCGGCGTCGTTCAAATGATGAAGCTCGACTTAGTCCTTTGATTGAAAGCAGCAGCATTCTTGAAGGACATGAAGTGAAGAGCTGTGACCAGCAGTCTGTGTCTGTGGCTTGAAAGGGATGTGGACCTGCGAATATCACAATTTGTAATCCAACAAACTGACGTCTTACAGCAACAGTATTTCTGTGTCTGTGAGCGGTCTGTTCAAGATCGTTCAAACCATTTCCTTCCTGCAAAGAGGCCAAGCAATATTCCCTGGATATTCTGTGTTTGTCACTTATGTACAAGACGAATGTTGCAGGAGATGACAGCGTGTGGGCGGAACGTGAAAGAGCAGCAATGGCAACCAAGGAGGAAAGTTGCGCTGATTCGCCGAAAAAAAGTCCATCAAAATACGACACAGGTATGCCAATGCACGTTGGTGCAATTCGCTTGCACATTGAAATCTCCCAGCAAGTTATTTTAGAAAACAAACTCAAGTAGAGTAACAAAAGTTAAAAGATAGCTACGCATAGCTACGTCGTATCCAGTTGATTCCTCGGTAACTGCTTTCCAGTTGAATGTCTTACATGGTTTGAACAAAATTGGAATGTTGTTGACACCGTTGACACCGTTGACACCTGTGTTCTGCCAGGAATTGGCCTTACATGTTTGGGACTTGGAGAAGACCTACCAGCGTTGGGCGAGTTGCCGTTCCCCCAAGCGGGCAGTGCGAGGCGAGACTGGGGGTATTCTCATTCTCCGTTGCAAAGGGTGCCATTCGTTCTGTGCTTTTCTATCCCTTCCATTCCATTTCTATCATTTCTGAATCATTCCGTGAAGTATCTGGAAGCCCTTCATATTTTCAGATTCCACTCTAATATATGGATTCGTAATGATTCATACATCAACATTCCATCGCGGAACAGGAAGTCAGCTGGTACTGGGAACTCTTCCCTGAGACTCGACTGAGCTCCTTGCTGTTCAAGCCAGCAGAGTGGCCAAACCCAGTCGTCGGTGGTTGGTGGTAGGTACGACACTACGCTTGACAGAACCCATGGCAGACAGTCCAAAATGCATTGGAATCTTGCGGCACAAGGCCATGACACATTGACCAGAAACTGCCATCGAACAAGTGTAAACTCCACAGCAAAAAGTCAGGAACAACATGAAACACTGTGAAACAACCACATGGACCCAGTTGGCAACGTCCTTTTTCTTTCAAACCAAAGACGCTGCGTGATGGATCTCCAACAAAGCGGGTCTAGACGCCAGCATCTCATTAGTGAGTTTCCATGGGGCTCAAATGCTGTGAGATGGCTCACATGCGTGTTGTCCAATTTCAATTGCATGGCATGTTCACAGTAAAAAGCTTTGACTTTTTGCTTACAGTGCTGTGGTCTTGTGTGCTACAGGTGGTTAGCCTGTTTTGAAATATCCTTATTGGCAAAGGTAAGAGACTGTGCTGGTTTGGTTCAATGTGCCTGACCTAAGGCCGGCGAAAAAGGTGGGATTTTCCAGTGCGGCCAAGCAGCGTCATGTCCCGTGAACTCACCGCATTTGCAGCGCAACTCCCACAGCCAAACTAGCCCTAGACTACGTTGGGAGCAGAAGATCGAGATTGCATGAGATAGCTTTATTCAACGGGAAGCAGTGGAAAAGTCAGAGCAGATCGGATTACAAACAGATAGTTTCTGCTTTTGCAGTTACGTGATGGTTAGCGCAGTATGGCTCCGGTCAACAGACGTTGCTGCTTGCAGGCTTTCCCAAGCACAGAGGCCAGCCCATTTATGGATTTTATGCTAAGGGATGTCGAGAGGATTCGTGATTGAGAGATGGTCTCAGGGTTGGTCCCACTTCTTTTTGGGGATATGACTAAAATTGACTAACGATATGACACAGAACTTACACTGAGTGAGGGCTTTGGGATTCCGTCGCCTGGTAGATCCGAATCCAGTCATCTCGACTCGTCTCGACATGTCTCGACTCGTGACTGGCCTTGACTCGCAGGCAGTTTCTGCTGAAATGCCTCGGAGAAGAAGACTTCTCAGATAGCGATGACCCTGACATTTCAGGCGGGCTTTTTGGAGTCGTTTCTCTCGTTTCAGCAGTGCGTGTCGCGTAAAGACCCATGTCTTACCAAAAGATATCAACAGATGTGCAGTTAGCTCAGTTAAATCATCTTGGATTACACAAAAAAAGGCGCTCTTGGAAATACACTGATTTTTTGGCACCCTTTCACGCCCCAGCAGCCCTTCAAGGCCCGACAAGCGATATGGATGTGGCGAAGAGGAGAGGTCTTACCCCATTCTCAATGATTTTCAATATCTATCCACAACATGTTTTCACTTGTTTTCAATTGTATCCAATTTTTTCAATGGTTTTCCATTGTTCAATCTGTTCATAGTCTTTTCAATATCTTTCCCACTTGATTTGCAAATCTCAGTGTCTTTTGCTTCTGTTTCGCGGAAACTTGCGATCCACTTGGGCGAGTCGCTTGACAGCACGAGGATGCGGTTTCTGCTTGGCGATTCTGAGGACGGTGGCCATACTTGCAAATTGGGTTTATAGAATTTCAATGCTACACAGAACAGAGTTTCAAAATGTTTCAAAATGTGCTGTGAAACCTTCTCAGGACGAGGGCGACAAGGATGAACGCGACGAAGGTGGCTGGTGGCTCTCGCGTGAGATTTCAAATCTAAAAGCCTGTAAAACTCATGATGTCTTCACAGGACTGATGTGTCGAACTTCTCACAAACACTTGTGAGATTTGGAGCGAGCCTTCTTTCTGCCCTATTTGAATGTAACACGTTAGCATATTGCTAGGCTATATATGGGTGTATATAATATTTATATATTATGATAGAAGTATATTGACTAGTGTATTGATGTACGTTTTGTTCGAAACATGTCCTAAGCCCATCCAATTTCAACAGAATTTCAGGACCCAGCCTTGATGCCATCTACACCTTCGATGCCAAAGAGATGGCCAGACTCAGTGCCTTGGAGATGGCGATGGCTTGCGATGGCGAGCGATGGCTGGGAGAAGGTCAGATTTTCTGGCTGTAAATGATACATATGTAAGGTCAGATGATGTCATGAGAGGTGCGGTTATTTCGTCAAGAAGAAGAAGAAGAAGAAGAAATGATACATATAATATATTTTCTAAATGAATTTTAGTGTATATATAAAAGGGCTAACGCCCTGGTGCCGCCGAGGGGGGGGAGTCCAGCTGCTCCTTAGTTTTGACATGGTGGGATCCAAGGGGTGCAGGGCATAACAGGAGTATCAGAGCTACTCATCCTTTTGCAGTCTCGAAACCCAGTAAAGATACATGACTAGGCAGCTTGGAAGGCTGGAGTGAGGCAAGGAGGCCCTATCAGGCCAAAGAAGGTGAGGCAAGAGCTGGAGGTTTTAAGGCTTTTAAGGCTTTTAATGCTTTTCAAGGCTGGGCCTAGTAGAACCAAAAGTGCCAGACGGCAGTCTCGAAACCCAGTAAAGATACATGATCAGGCAGCTTAGAATGCTGGAGTGAGACAAGGAGTCCTCAGCAGGCCAAAGAAAATGAGGCAACACCTGGGCCTAGTAGAACCAAAACTGGCGTTTTGAGGGTTTTCAAGTTTTAAGGCTTTTCGAGGCTGGCCTAGTAGAACCAAAAGTGCCAGACGGCAGTTTCGAAACTTCTTAAAGAGACATGACCAGGCAGCGTGGAAAGCTGGAGTGACGCAAGGAGGTCCTAGCAGGACAAAGCCGCACACCTGCGGTGATCCCGGGCGCCGCCCCGCTTAGGCCAAAGCTAGGCAGGGGTCGGCCGATAGATAGATTAGATTAGATTAGATTAGGATAGATAGATAGATAGATCGATAGATAGATCGATCGATAGATCGATCGATAGATAGATAGATGGATAGATGGATGAGATGGATAGATAGATGGATGGATGGATAGATAGATTAGACTAGATTAGATTAGATCAGATTAGATCAGATTAGAGTAGGTTAGACTACTGTAGATGATTAGAGTAGGTTAGATTAGATGAGATTAGGATAGATAGCTAGATAGATAGATAGATAAATAGGTAGATAGGTAGGTAGGTAGATAGGTAGATAGGTAGATAGGTAGATAGGTAGATAGATAATATACTTCACAACCGAACATGTTTGAAAATAAATCCAGCTTTGAAACGTGTTTTGATGACAGTTCCCAGATTCCATGCATGTTCTTACCACAAATATTTGAAAGGACATATTGAGCAGCTCTACAAAAGCCTTGAACGCACTTGTGGTTGGGACCAAAAGGCATTTGCATGGCCTCAATTCAGGTATGCGAAATGCAGTGAATTTTGTCTTCATCGATGATGATGACGAAGAAGAGGACCTCTTAAGAATGTGCGATCAAGAACTCTTATTGAGTGCATGATTCGGGATGCGGAAATGATGATCGCACCGTCACATCCCATCGTGTCAATGTCTATTAGTTCGGCTATGAAGATCTATGAAGAGATGTAACGAGATATGTGACGTATTGAGATGTGACAATTACAACAATACTCAGCACCAGGATGGATGTACCGATGGCATCGAAGAGGTCTTCAGCTTTGATTTGGAGAAAGTGGCTGAGGCGGGGAATCATCACTTTACCATCGGTTCTTCCAATTTCCGGATTTGACAATTTGAAATGTGATAGAATTTGATGACTTAACATGTTTTTCCATTTTTCCAGAGGAAACTGAAATGACAGATGCGGCAAAACCTTGCAGAAGACCTCAGCACTGAGGCCTTGCGCCGTGGTGCTGATCAGTGCCTTGGAGACCCGTGGGACATGTGGCAGGGGAAATCTGTTCACAACCATTGCCGACATCTTTAGTTTCTTCGGTTTCTTCATATATCCAGAGGATCCAGAGTGTTCCAGATGCCAACGCAGTAAACACAGACCGCATGTGGCGAAAACTTTGCCAAGGGATGAACTCAGTCACATCATTGAGGAAGTCTGGGACCTCAGCACATTTCGGCACGCTGGGTTGGCTTCATGGAATGTGCAGCTGACACAGGTCAGGAGATCTCTTTCTCTCTCTCTCTCTCAAGTTTCACTTCATTTTGGCAGTGGCCACCCCCGGCCCAAGTCATGCTTGAAGTTCTTTGATTTTTTGAATTTACTACTGCATGTTTATTGTTGTTCATATTCAGAGCTTGGGTCTAGCCTAGCGTTCAGCTGTTTCGGCGGCAGACTGGAACTTCCGTATGGCTGTGAGGATCACCTTTCTTCATCTTGATCTTGTCTTATGTTGAAAGCAGATCTATGATTTTCTTGCAAGGCCATGATCCAAGATCTTCCTCAACGAATTGCAACTGGATCCGGTGAGGCCGGTGTCCTTCAGGTGGATCAAATCACTCCGACCAAACTTTCAGGCGGACAAAGAGACCATTGATAGATATTGATAGCACATGAGAGCACGATTTTCTTTGCAGCCGACCTTGTGTCCCTAAATTGTCCCTAAATTATCCGACAGGAGTTTCTTCCTGCTGCTTTTTTATGACACTGTCCTTTGTCTACAGTATAGTGTAAAAGATGGTATTCACCCAAAATGGATGTAAAATGATGTAAACAAATTGTAAAGATACTATATGGAGCAGCCGAATTACCTTGACATAACATGGGCCATCGAGTTTCACCTGAAAGTTTCCTAGAATGCAGAATGCCACGAATTGCCACGAGAATGTGTGGTTTCCACAACATGCCATGGATTGCCAAGCCAGAGGCACGACATGAAGAGACTTCATCTACAGTGACTCCTCGCACAGGCCAGGTGGTTCAACAACTGTGTTTCGGAAGAATGCCGGCCGGTGTGCACCTCCCGCACCTGCTGATTTTGGAGTCTGCTTGTCCAACACACATTTTGTCCAACATTGTGCAGCTCAAGGTGACCTCTCAGCACTGATGACACCTCCATGCGAAGCACCTGAGGAAGGCCGGTTTGCGGGCACGCCAACGGTGCAGACCGACGTGAAATCAAACATGACATCATGTGGCATCATGTGACATCAATGATCATGAAGGATTCCAACTGAACTTTTGTTCTTTTCGCTTTACAATCTTTACGCACCGCCTTTTAGCTTTGGCATGTCAGATGGCCATATATTGCCAATTATATTGCCCTCAAGTTGTTGAAGCCGACACATCTCAGGTCCTGTTTCACCACAGTTTGGTGGAGGAACTTCTTCGTTCCGAGGGTTGTGGGGAGTGCACCGCAGCTGTTATGCGGGCTTGTCATGCGACCGTCATGCAGCAACCTGGCAAAGGGAGAGGAAACAGATCTCAACAGACAAACAAACTCAATGTTCGACGCATTCCTGAATGGTTAGGGGCGGGAGATGGCAGAAATATGGGGACATCACGCATTTCACCTGTAGAAGTTGACATCCCGCAGGAGCTGTGAGCAGCACCGACTTGGCAGCAAGGCTTCAGAAAATTGGAGGCGACACTGCCAAGCGCTAGTGGAGGGGTTGGATGCGGTTGGAAGGACGGGATTTACTCCATGCCCTCCGCGTCGAGTCAAAGCCACAGTTTTCTCATTGCATCAAACCATATCAAACCACACATGGACTTGTAGCAAAAGATCAACAACAAGAATCAACAAGCCGTGCAACTGGGTGGATGACAGGCGGAGCTTGCTCAAGTCGACGGTAGTAGCCTCTGTTTCCAAAGATATCCAAAGATGGATGATGGGATGAGGACCAGTAACTCAGTATGGACCAGACACGATTTGATGGCTCCAACCCAAATGCAGTGGGTTGACCGAGGCGCCGCTCCAGCATTGCGCAGCATCCCCAACTGATGGAGGCATGGCAATGGAATACAGTGGAATGCACTGCTGAAGTGCAGTGCGTGCTAAAGCATCCCACACTGATGACATGTGGATACATATGGTTTGGCAACTTCAAGCAAAGCACGGGGAAGCACTATTTTTATCTATTTTTCCTGTCTACAAAAAGGTTGTTGCATGTTTTTGTTGAAATTCTTTCCAAGGCACTGGACAACAACTTCCAGACACATTTCGCAGTTGCGAAGCATAGTGCCTCAAAAACAATGACATATTATGACATATTATGACATATGGACTAATATTTTGACATATTTTGATATCTCTGAACATCTCTGAACTCCCTGGACCGCCCGGACCACAGGCGGTGAGCACAGCGCAATCTCGGCATCGACAGAGTCTGGCAAAGGCGAGACATGGCGAGACATGGCGAGACACATTTGGCAATGCCGAACGAATCTTCACAAAATGTGAATGCGGCAGTTTATAGATTTCTAAAATGATTTCTTAGTCCATTGTGGATGTTATCAGATAGCATAAGATAGCCCAACATCCAAAAGGACTTGTCATGTGCATGTTATTCAATCATATTCAGTCTCTAAAAGGACATGTGCCGTCAGACCTGAGCACTCACAGTTTCACATGTCTAAAGATGGTTGTGATGAGACTAGTGTGGATATGTCTGGAGATGCGTGGCATCTGGAGGTGGTGGAGACAGAGCTTCGAGAGGCACGACATGCTGTCCAGTGAGAGCTGCTTATTTGGCTTTTGCAGCTGCTGTTGCTGTCATTCCCTAACATATCTAAACAACGTAATATCTATAGAAAAATATAGATATACAAGCAATATATTATATATATGCTGAAATTACTCGCATAACTCCTCACCCCTGGCATGTGTGTCTATATGTTGTACCCATTGACTCTACAGTGTACACAATGTCATGGAGTGTCAACATGGAATAGATGACTCAATACGTTATCTAACAAAGATAGCATGTTCTTTTATCCTGAAATCCGGGGTAAAATATTTACCTACTTGGCCAACGACGTTTGGCTCAAGGTGCCTGCAAAAAGGCGTTGTTAGCTTTGCTTTCACTGGTTGACGTCACTTATAATCTGCACCCGCACCCATTGCAAGCGTATTCGATACAATCCAATCTGGTATAATTCCTGCGATCACTGAGTTGTACCGGTATTCAAGTATATATATACATACATACTGCATATATAATTTCTATATACTGTATACGTATAATTATATATGTCAATTTATATATAATATATTACGTGTGTTCTTTTTTCCCATGGCCATATTTAGCGCAGGCGAGGCGGAGATCCCTCGCTACCCCGCTTCGACAGCGCGAGTCCAGGTTTTAGATTTCAGGCATTTCAGGAGGATCGTGTTATTCGTGTTGTACATAAGTTGCAGTAGCGTTCTGTCCTTGTTTCTACTAGTGACTGGATTCTTGATGGATCTTGTATGGGGAGAAGGTAGGCATCATTAGACCATCAGAAAACAATATTGAAATTATTTCATTAAACGTGCTTGGGATGGACAAGCAATGGGTTTCAATCTCCGAGTTTCCTTATAAATCTTATAAGTATTCTATAAGTGATATTTTGTAGCTGTTGCTGATGTTGCTGTGATGTTGCCGTTGCCATGTAGGGATGGAAGTGTCACCAGATCGCCTTGATCGCCTTGGCGGCCAAGGTGCTGCTCTCCTCCAGGGGATTCCGCGCCAAATCCAACTGGCCAAACATGGGACATCTCACAGTTCCCCAATATCCCAAGTTGCCAAGTATCCCATCCAAATATCTCACAGTTCGCAACATGTCACTGCCCATTCCAGAATGTTTCGAAACAAAGCACGCTTTCATTGCACCCCATTGATGAGCTGAGGATTTCAACATGTAACGAGAGGAACACATATTTTCATATGTTTTCAGATTTTTCAGACGTTCCAAAAAGTGCATGTAACATTTTGACGTCATTCTGGTGGAGATCGAAGCTGGCCGTCGACACGAGCGCTTGGCGGACAGGAAGAATCTTTGCGCCGTCCATCTCTTGCAGCTCAGGCTTTGGGGTTCAGTCTGATCTGTCGGAAACATCAGACATCATCAGACTTCTGACATTTTGATGACACTGTGATTACATTTGTGAAATTAATCACATCTTAAGATCAAACCTTGATAGTTGTTTTTCCTTGGAAAACACAGATTCAACATGTGATGCAGACAGAATACATCAACAGCTGCGACAGAATCAAAAGTCTTCCAGTATCTTCCAGTTCAAAAATGCCGATTCCGAGGAAGGTAAAGACATCGAACACATTCCATTTCGGCTCAAGATGGGGGAGGATCAACGGATCAAAACGCCGGCCCGGCTCGGATCAGTTAGGGTGTGTCCATGGCAATCAGGAACTTGTTTGCCCAACGGTCTGTCACCGGAGCGCCGGAAGAATTTGACGAAAGATGGAGAATCATTTCCGGTTGGTGTTGTATTGCAGCCCTACCATTCAGCAGAGTTGGCCCATGCAATTCTCGATATTTTGATGTCTGAAGTGCTTGGTTACAACCTGCAGTACTCCCCACACGTTCCAGCCTCATCCATTGAAGTGATGTATGCGATGATTGGCTGCAAGACATGGTACAATCGCGAGTCTCGTGGATGTGACAAGCGCAAACAGGAACTACACTTAGCCGTCGAAAGCTGGCATTTGTCATACCCAACAACATGGGAAATCATTCGGCAATCATATCCAGCAGAAGTCCCTCTTAGTGTGGACATGGGCTATGTTGGAACCACTGGCCAATTCGTGTCTGCATCTGTTGTCGAGGCGGCAGAAAATTCGCGAGGCTTGGCCTTAGATTACTACAAGAGTTACCTGCATTTGAACAAGACAATTTTTTGCCTTCCCTCTGATTTATCCACCAATTGGGTAATCTATACTGGTAATGTGTTTTATTTATGTTTAGCACGAAATCCAGCATGCTAGCTGGAGTTAGCTTTGCTGTAGCAAAATGTATCGGGGGCAGATTGGATGCAGACGCTGTGCTCTATCATGTCGAGCTGGGTTTGGAGCCCCCCTCTATGTATGAATGTATAATCATGTATATATGTCGGTTTGTTTCAGAGGGTCGGAGGGGTTAGATTGCAATTGGGGCTTTGGCACGACCTTTTTCCGATGTTGGCTGAAAATGGTCGTACCTGGTTTGTGGTTTGGTTCTCAGAGTTGACTGGCAGCCCTGAAATTGGTTAATGTGACCATGAAAACATGTCTACACAATACATCCGCCTTTCAGTGTTTGGTAGAGTTAGTGAAATTCTCGCTACAGCATCATACTCGGCTATCACTTTGCGAGTATTCTATACGCGATTCGCTGCTTCGGTTTCGCGTCAATAAGCTGGGATTTCTTACAAGTAGATTGCCCAGAGAACATTGGCGTTTGGGATGGTGATGTAGGATGGTGATTGCGGCTTCTTGGCTGTATCCACAACAATTGGATGCGGATATGAGGACTTTGTAACTCGAAGTAGGAGAGTGGTTTTTCATGGTTTCAATGTATTTGCGGTCATTGATAACTGATTTGGCGCGACATTTTTTCCTCATTTCAAGATCAACAATTGAAACTCAAAAGGTTGCATCACATATTCTCTTGATACATATCCAGCTTTGCCCCCCTTCCTTTTGGCCCGACCCCCTTGAGCAAATCCAAGGTTACAATCCGAAGTGGCATCACGCGGCGGAGTTCTTTGACAACATCTCCGCGGTAAACACCTCGTATTTCGAAATGAATGTCGGGAGAGCAAACTCAACGACAACCTGACCAATTTTGGCTATTGGAAATTGACAGGTGAGGTTGTGTAAAGAAGGGGGCGTGAGGACAATTACTGTTCTGAGATGATAATTTTGAGTCTTGAGGTTGTTGGTGTGGCTATGTTGTTGTACGGATCTCCCCCGAAAAGATTACGAAGAAAACATATGGTTGGATGTACATTTAGTTTGGATCACCTGTTTTCATACGGCCTCAGGTGATGATTCAGGAGTGATCGTTGTCAATAATACTTTCAGAGCTTTTTGTCCTGACGGATACTTTTGGAGAGCCCCAGTGTGCCGCAACGACGGAAACCAGTGCATCATCTACGTGGTCTATGATTGGCAGATTGTGGACGTGATGCAGAGAAGCGCCGTTTTTTCCATTCCCCTTGGAGTTGGCGTCGCAAGTTCATATGAGAACTACTTGGTGGTGCCCAAGATCTACAAATCCACGTTTTACTACTGGACACCAGACGACTCATTTTTGGACTTGAACACGGTGAAGGTCATCTTCCCAGAACACAATGCATATGCTCACCTCCAAGGAGACCTGACTACAGCCAGTAGTCATACACCGCTTGCCAAGCTCACCAGTTATGACTTAGGATACCTCGCTCCTGACCTTTTCAAGCTTCTGGAGAACAGTGCCTTGGATATTGATACCATGAACTTCTTCGGGAAAGTCAAGCAACTGGAGACCAGCCACAAGAGATCGCCTGTAGATGGTTGAAAAACAATGAGGCCAGGTGGCATGAGTGGATCCCTGATCCCACTCTTTGCATCCGTGGCTTTGGGCTCTATGATGCTATCACTGACACTTTTCCTCCAAGCCGGGCATCAGCCAGCAACTGTAAAGCATGCCTACCCCGTACCTATTCCAAGCTTCTCAAAGATAACGGGGGTACCACCCATGTTTGCGAGGAATGTTCTGCAGGTTCGGAACAGCCAGCTGCTGGCGAAGTAAGCTGCAATCCTTGTCCCGCAGGGACTTTCAAAGGAGTGGCCTCCACGGATGGTTGTGCGCCATGTCCAGAAGGCTACTACCAAAACGATGTTGGAGCAGTGACGTGCAAGAAATGCCCAGACGGAACCACCACCATCCTTTTGAGAGCCACGCATCTCTCAGACTGCGTTTGCCTTGCTGGAACCATTGATATCGCTCCTGGAGCCGAGACGCCATGTGTGGAATGCACAGAGGCACTCTCATGCCCAGATGGTAGTACAGTGGAGGGCCTGAAGAATGGTAAGAATAACCACCAGAAGGGGCCAGAAGTCATGCCAGGCTACTTCAGTTGGTTGTCAGCGCCCACAGAGGTCTTCAAATGCCCCAGCACACATTGTCCAGGGGGGAGCTCCGGAGACTTGCGAAGGTGGCAGATTAGGTCCAACATGTGCTGAGTGTGCAGTTGGGATGTACTGGGCCGAGGATAAATGTCAAACTTGTGAGGTCTCCATGGTAGTCGGCTGGATTGCAGTTCCATGTGCCGTGTTGCTAGCGATGGTTGTCGCCTACTACGTCTCAGAGGATGGTTACAAAGCAAAGGCTGCACTTCGTGAGTGCGCAAGCATTGGTGGCGACATGATGCTGGCCTTTGTGCAAAATTTGGGCATCCTCAGCGTCGTGTCAGTTCCATGGCCTGCATCCTTGAAAAATCTCTTTGAATGGTCTTCGCTCTTCGTGTTGAATCTGCAATCTTTAGGCCTCAACTGTGCTTCAAGTCGTGGGACGCATCAATATGTCATGTCTTCCATGTTTTTCATCATTGTCGTGACGGTCTTGCCTATCTTGGGTTATGCAACGAGGACTTGCTCCTGCATGAGACGTCGTGGATGGAGTTGGAAGTTTTACAGAATTATTTGTGTCACTGGAAAATTTCTACAGTCTGGCTTCACGACAATGTGCAACAGTGGTTTGATTCCCTTCATGTGCATCTTGGTGTTTGTTTAGCAGTTTCTTGGTTGCTTTTTGCTTTGTGAGGACTAGACTGACGAGAACAACCTTGTCAACTCCGGTGTTACTGGTGATTGAATCCGGCGAAGCAAAAGCAAAGACAACAAAAACCCAAAAGCAGTTGCAGTTAGAGCAACAAGGACAACATTTGACAACATTTGACACCATTTGACGACGACGACGACGACGACGACGACAACAACTTGACAACAACAACAACAACAACAACAACAACAACGAAATAAACAAAGTAAACAACCGGATAGCACAAAAAACACCATCCAAACTGCTATAGAATGCCAAGGCATGCGACATCCCAACGGTTATCGTAGCATCTTGAAGTACTCCAACACTTTCTGCGGCAGCGCAGAGCATGGGACGATGCAACTCTTCGGCGTTTTGGTGCTTGTCTTGAGCCGCACTTCATCCTTTGCTGGGCAAGTTGGCTCCAACATGGTCCTTGGCGTCACCTGAACGAATTCGAGGAATTGGATTCTTCATTGGCAACTTTCGACCTTCGACATGGTGGTTCGGTTTGATCATTTTGGCAAGGGGACCACTCTTGTCTTTGTCAGTAGTGTGGGCTCCCGACGTGCCAGGCATCCAACTTGCTTTGATGCTCTGTGTGTTGCTCGTCTCCTTTGCGTGGCAACTCTGGTTCCTGCCCTGGAAGGCGCCTTTGCTCAACTTCGTGGATGCCGTTTCCACCGGTTTGTTCCTGATTCTGCTCGCCATCTCCTTGCACTTGGAATCGGCAGATGATGACTCCCTGTCCTTTTTGGACTCCCTTGGGACTGGCGTGTACTTTCTGAGCCTTGGGATCATCGCCTGCGCTAGCCTTTTGGCCCTGGTGTTGATGCTATGGCAGCGCTGTAGCTCGAAACGCCAGCTAATACCAAGTATTGTGAACTTGGGTGTGGTGAGAGAACCAGCGGACATCATAAAAACTCTCATGACAGTCGATACGAACTTGGAATCCAAGGAAGACTGGGAGAAAGAAGCTCTCCTGAAAAAGATGTCCTTATCACTTTCAACTTATGACCTTAACCTTGTGGGGAAAGCCTTGGACATTTTGATCACAGATCTTGAGCTGGGCAAAGTCTGTAGATCGCGGATAATTGTGGGCCGAGTCGCAGACACGCGCACACTGAGCCAACTGAGCGAAAGAGATACCGAAAGGAGTTCAACAAAGGATGCAGCAGATTCGGCTTCAGACCTTGACAGGCTTGACGGTCGGCTTGACGTTGTCCAAGACGCCAACTCTGATGGCCCCGAGCATGACGAGAACCATTCCCATCATGACATGTCCATGGAACGCAGTAGAACCTGCGAATCAGATGAAACTTGCGAACATTTTTTTTAGATTTTGGCCATCCGTGGCCCCATCCATGTCAGAGACATGTGAAATGTAGAACAACTGCATTTGCAACTGCTATGCCCTTCAGTTGGCATTAGCGGGTGGTTGCATGGTTAGCTCACTGCACCGCTGCCGTTGTTTCTTTGATTTTCTGCCGCTTCATGCTTTTTCCGTTGCATGATTCAGCCTTTCCGCACAGTTTCACTTAGACTTAGGCACGGTATATAAAGTTACGTAATTACTTAGTTTTGCAGTTTGTACAGGACAGGGCAAGTTCCAATCTCTTGACCATAGCTTGAAGTAGGCGCTTGCGACTCAAACGGCCGACGTTGAGATGTCGTAGCAACTTGCCAGGTGAGTCTCAGGATCCTCTGTGAACTGTTGCAAGCATTGTCACGTAGGGGCGGATGATCATACCCCTTTGGAAGCACCAAGCCCAAACAGCAATCCAGATCAATCCAGCCAAGTTGTTTGCGCTCCAGGTCCGCCGTTCTGTGGCAGGGGCACAGAGGCGGAGAAGCACATGTCACAAGTGTAACAAGTGTACAGGGACATCCTGCAATCTGATACTGTTGAAATCGCTTTTTCGCTGCACCGGTCTTTACAGTGACGTCCTGTGACGTCCTGCTTCAAGTGAGCCGTATTTTTCTCAGGGACAAGTCCTGACATGTCGAGGCGGCGCAGATCGAGCTTGATCCGGGCAGCAGAAGTCTTGGAGGCCCGTCATAGGTCACATCCCTTAACCGCCTTAACCGCCTTAACCATCCTTAACCGTTACCCCGTTACCCTTACCGTGACCTGCTTGTGACAATTTCGTGGAATCTTCAGGACTCTTCCACCAAGCTCCCATGTCAAGCTAAAAGCCAGGTGGCAGGTGTGGGCATTGGACAGCAACAAGCTCAAATTGAGGCAAAGAATGGCAAAGAGCTTCTGCAACTGATCTCAGCACACATTTGAAACTCAGATGTATCAAACAGGTTTGCTAGACTAGAAAGGTACATCATCAGTGTGTTTCATGTGCTGGCGTCATCTCCTGTTCTCAGATGATAGGTCTAGTTCATGTAGGAGTTTCTGAAGGTTCTGAAGTGATTGAAGTATTTTGATTTCAATTGGCAGATATTGGCAGATATTGGCAGGTTGAGGAGCACTTGGATCTTGTCCAGCGTGCAGTGGAGATAGCAACACGTCGACACCGCCAGACGGGATGCCTGGATTGGCCATGGGCCAGGGCGAAGCACTGGAGAAGTGGAAGCGGGTGCCGGGAGATATATTTTTTTGTAGTTTTCGATTTTTTTAATTGTTTTTATAATATGTTAAGTTTTGTTCATTTTTCTTCGATTTCCTCATGATCTTATGATCTCATGTCATCTCATGTAATCTCCTGTATGTTCATGATTTTACTGTAACAATCTGTAATAATAGTAATAATATGTATTTAATGTTTTTTTTAAATAAAATACTATATTGATATCTTATATGTTCATATCTTAAACATATTTTTCATATTTTTCAATCTATTTTCCCATAAAGGTTCATAAAGGTTTATTATGATGATCATCTATAAATTTATATAATAGATGACAAGTAGATCGATTTTCCCGGCAGCCTGAGAAGCCAGGAGCATTCTCGAGGCCATGGCCCAGATTTCCGTCATCGATGAAGAGGTTTCCAGTCAACACACGGTTGAGTCACGGTTGAGTCAAGTAGCTCCCAGAAATTCCCAGGTGATCTTGAGATGAAACCTAGATCTGAAAACATCAGAAACCATGATAATCATGATATATTGGGAAAAGGTTGGAAAAGGGTGGAAGAATTATGAAGAATTCTAAGAAACTTGTGGATCTCTGGAGTCCACATGCTTCGCGGTTGCATCGTATCCGGTGCTGACGGTTGCAGGACGAGCCAGAGCCAATGCCAGAAGCAGAGCCGGAATCTGGAGGCTTGCAGAGTGTAGAAACGGAAAGCATAAACATATCATGGATATTTCATGGATAAGAAGACAAAAAACTTGAATGAACGCAAATGAGCATTTTCGATGAAAAAGATTGGCTCAAACTATGCAGATCTTGGGAGATATTAGCAGCTGTTATCATATTACTGTTGTGTTACTGTAATATTTTATATTATTTGTATGAATATCAGATAGATTCAGATAGTATTAGTATTAGTATTAGATAGTATTAGATAGTATTAGACTAGATAGTATTAGATAGTATTATAGATAGTATTAGATAGTATTAGATAGTATTAGACTAGATAGTATTAGATAGTATTATAGATAGTATTAGTGTCGAAACGGGCACATTCAGCACTGCCATCCGCTCACAGCCATTAGGCTCCGCCAGGTGTGTAGGAAAATGGGGCGCTGATGCTTTTCTAGTGGTAGACGGAGCTTCTGGTGGATCTGGAGGCTGTGGTTGTCGAGGGGATCCTGTTTGTGAAGGTGGTGGGTGGCTTGGGCCTGTGGTGGACACCTGGCGGTGCCTATGCCCACCTTTCAGGCAATGTACACGGGCATGCAGGCTGACTATGCAGCTGCGGATGAGACGAGCGGGAGTTTGTCAACCCCGCCTCGGCGGACGGGGGCGTCACAGCCTCCAAGTAGTGGTGATCGGCCGAGCATGGGCTCGGGGCGAGGCAAAGGTCGTGGTGGTGAAGGTCCTGAGAGGTATGTGATGGCTTCTGAAGGAAGCTCAGGTGCTGAACGTAGTGAAGGAGTGGCTGAGAGCAGTTGGGAATGGGAGACCGACTCTTCGTGGTGGAGCCCTTCCGGAAGGTATGAAAACTGGACTTGGGTCGGTCGCCATAGCCACTCAGACCGGTCAAGTTATGGCGGTGCTTACTATGCCAACTGGGATTGGGAGCGACCTTCCGACCCTTGGTGGGATTGGTACAATGATCGACGTCATCGAGATCGTTCGGGAGTATCTCATGGCAGCGATCATGGAGATCGTGAACAACCCGATCATAGAGGTTGGCGTGGTGATCCTTGGAATGATTTGGAGGTGACCTCGCCGAAGTCAATGCCAGCTGCGCGTGATGTCAGCGGGGCCTTGCCGTCTGGTGAGATGAGTTCTGTGGGTCAGCAGAAGGAGAACAAGGTGGCAGGTGATCACCGCAACTCAAAAATTTCTTCTTCGTACCCGCCCATTTTTCGAGCGAAGCCTGGGGAGTCTTTCAAGGAATGGAAGCGATCAGTGGGCTTCTGGTTGGGCGGTGAAGCTGGTTCTCTTCCTGCAGAGCTCATTGGTCCGAGGCTGATGGTGCAATTGAGGGACAGAGCGGGTCAGTTGGTGCACCATCTGAGCAATGAAGATGTCAACAAGGCCAATGGCATGCAATTGGTGATGGAGACCCTGGAGAAGAGCCCATTGATCCGGCAACTCGACAAGCACAAGGTCGACATGCATCGCAAGCGCCTGATGTCCTTGCGAAGGTTGCCACAAGAAAGTTTGGAGTCCTACGTAACCAGAGGTCAGCTCTATCGCACTCAGTTGGTTGCCCTGGATGATGCGATGCAGATGGGTGAATGTTTTTTCACTGGGCATTTGCTGGATGGAGCGCGGCTCTCGCGCAAGGACAAGGTGATGATTAAAACGAGAGCTGGCAGCGATCGCGAGGTGGACGTGACCAACGCCATGGTAGAGCTGGCCCCGGAGTTGGAAGGAGAGCATGGCTTTCCAATCGGCAATTCTGAGCCGAATGCCGCTGCACGCCAAGGCGAGGAGTTTCTCATTCAGCGCCCTGAGAGCTCTCGCTTTGGCAAGAAGGATGTCAACGCTGTCGAGCTCGACCCCTTTGCTGAGGAGAATGTCGAGTTGGATGATGACGCTTCGATGATGCTGGAAGAGTTTGACCCTCCAGAACTGGTGCAAGCGGCCAATGAGGCCTTTGCGTTGCAGCACAAGGCCAAGCAGCGCATCATGGAGGTGCGAAAGTTGAGACAATACTATCGTCGGCCAGATCGTCCTGAGCAAGAAGAACGCCGACGAGCTTTGCAGGAGAAAATGCGCACTTCGCCATGTCACCGCTGCGGTGAAATTGGCCATTGGAGCCGAGAATGTCCCCAGCGAAACAATGCTGTGGCAGCCACCGCTGTGAAAGGAAGCCCTTCGGCAAAGACTGCTGAGGATGAGTGGTCGGCTTTGGTGTCACTTTGTCATCAACAGCCAACTGTGGCATCGTCCGCTTCGGTGGCATACAAGGAGCGTTTTGTCGGGGTGATCAATCACGTTGGGGGCATAGCTCATGAAACGATGTGGTGTCAGCAGGAACTTCGTTTACATGTTATTTTAGATTTGGGATGTGTGAAATCGGTGGTTGGTTTGAGCTGGATGAATCAGTTGGTGAAAGAGTGGAAAAGTAAGAATAGATGGTTTGTGGTGCTCCCCGAGCAAGAGAAGTTCCAATTTGGGAATGGCGAAACGCTGACTAGCCGATTCAGAGTCCAATTTGAATGCATGGTTGGAGGTTGTCACATCGTTTTGGCCATGTCAGTGGTTCCTGGAAAGTGTCCTCCTCTCCTATCTCGTCATGCATGTTCTCAATTGGGTTTGAAGATCGATTGTGCTGCACATACATTTAGCTCTACTCGCATGGGCATCAAAACATATGGATTGGCACAAGCATCAAATGGTCACTATTTGCTGCCCGTCTTCGACTTTGATGACTCACATCTTTCAGATCTTCCTTCAGATTTTTCCTTGATGCAAGGTCAAGAGGCTCAGGTGATCAAGAAGGTCATGCCCATGCCTGAAGTCGTTGATTCTCCGGCAGCTGTCATGTTCGAGCTTTCGAATGACCGTTCAATTCGTTCTTCAAACCCGGCGCCCACTTCGGCCCTTGCAGATGGCGACGGTGCCTGCGGCAGCCAAGGCGAAGTCCTCCGCAGACAAGCCAGTGGACGAACCGAAGGTCGTGATTTGTCGCCTTTGCGGGGATCCAGGTCACCGAGCCAAAGAATGTCACATGTTGGAGCAATTGGTGAGCGAGACGGAAGAGGAGGAGATGAAGGTCGATCAGGGCTATTTGGAGCGAACTCGGAAGAAGATTCATTCTCGCCGCTCCTCTCGAGCTGCACCCCAACCCAAGAGCCCGAGGACGAGCACCGAGCAGCATTCGACTTCGGAGTGGGAGCTCATGCAGGGGCTTACCAAGGACGAGATTGCCCTGATCACCAAGCGCAGGGAGAAGGCGGCCGTCACCCGATCCAAGCAGCAGGCCAATCGAGCCCTCACGGGCGAGCAGGCGAACTTCCCGAGCCTCTCTCACATGTGGTCTCAGGAGGTAGCATTGAACATGGTGTTTGCAATGGGCTCTCGCATGAGGACTTTCCTATGGAAGAAGCTCCTTTGGCAGCTGAGGGTGAAGTCCGCCGTGGATCGCATTCAGGGTGCCCGCTGGAAGCGCAACCCACGATGGTTAGCAATGTTGCTGTCCAAGGAAGTGGGTGCGATCTGGGGTCATTACGGAGCACTTCGTCAGAAGTTGAACAACCCGGACATTCTGTACCTGATGTGACAAGGGAGAAGCAGCTCTTGCTCCAGCGTGGAATGGTGCAAAGTCTGAAAAAGGGCGTGGGAAAAGGGTTGAATAGAGGCCGCAGAATCACCAGTACGGCCGCAATGGAAGGCCGTTTTGTGGTGGTCGAGATCTATGCAGGCGTGGCCAATCTCACCAAGGTTGCAATGAAGGAGCTGGGCACCACATGGTCCGCTTTGGATCCCATTGACATCATCTATGGCCATGACTTGAAGAAGAAGGCCACAAGAGATGAAGTTTGGGAGCTGCTCTACAAGACTGAGCCGGACCTGGTGACGCTTTCTATGCCCTGCGGCCCATGGTGTCAATGGATGAACATGTGCGATCCGGACGAAGTGGCCGACCGTCGCACTTTGGATATGCCCCTTTGGCGCTTTGCTCGAGACGTCTGGGACTTTCAGACGAAACGTGGAGCTCTTGCCATGACGGAGAACCCCTTCGGCAGTGTGGGCCTGAAGTTGAGCTTCATGGAAAAGCGCCCCCAATTGAATCGCGCCAAGGTTGCCCAGTGCATGTTCGGCCTCAAGGATGTGATCTCGCACAAGCCCCATCGTAAGCTCACTGCCTTGGATGCGAATGATCCTGACTTTGCCCGACTTTTGGAAGAAGGAGGACAATGCCTTCATCATCCTGAAGAACATCAGATCTTGGAAGGCAAAGTTCAGGTGGATGGGAGATGGGTGAACCGAACTTCCTTGGCAGGCATTTGGCCCGTTCAGCTCTGTCGGCACATCTTGAGAGCGGCTTGGAAAGCCTTGACAAAGATCGAGAAGATCCCGCCTTGGTCCTTGGCTGATCCTGTGGGGGAGAGCAAGCTTTGGGAAGGGCATGAGATAAATGCGGTGTCCTCCGGTCTCGTACCCGAGGAGAATTTGCGACAGGAGCTTCAGAGCTTGGGAGCTGGTGGCGATCGCTATGGCTACATCACTTTTGAAGGAGAAGGCCAACAAGTTCCACGTCGGATTCGTTCGGCGGTGGCCCATCTCCATGCTGCATTGGGTCACCTGGCAAATGACCGATTGGTCAGAATACTGATGCTGAGCGGCGCTGGTGAAGCTATCCTCAAGGCAGCTCGCAATCTTCGTTGCCAGGTGTGCGCGATGGTACAGCCGCCTCGTGATGCTCCCCAAGTGGCTTACAATAAGCCGTCCAACTTCAATGAACGCATCTCGGGCGACACCTTTTTCATCTGGGATTGCAAGGGAAAGAAGTACGGTGTGGTGCATTTCCTGGACGAGCTCACGGACTATCATGTGGCAGATTGCACAAATGTGGTGGACTCTACGTTTGCGGCTGGAGTTCTGCGCGACCAATGGTATGGTGTCTTTGGCCCTCCGGATGTGATTGTCACGGATGGCGGCATGGAGTTTGCCGGAGCGGTGGAAGTCCTCAACGACCTGATGGGTGTGGTTCATGACACAATACCTGAAGGAGCCAAATGGCGACTGGGGCATGCGGAACGTCATGGGAGCATCCTCAAACTCATGTTGCTGAAGATGCTCAAGGGCCTCAATTTGGAGGGATTGGATGACATGCGTATGGCCGTCACGGCAGCCTGCTCTTCCAAGAATCGCCTGTGCAATCATGGCGGAGTGTCGCCTCTTCAGGCAGTGACTGGCCGAAACGCATTGATCCCAGCTTCGCTGATGACGCAGATCTGCTCTGGCAAGATGAAGTTCGTGCTCAACCAGGACCTGGATCGAGAAGAATGTCTTCGCCGAGCTGAACGCATCCGTCATGGGGCCATTGAGAGCTTTCATTGGCTCGACTCTCACACCACCTTGCGTAGGGCATTGGCAAGCAAGTCACGACCTCCTCGCTTGGAGATGCTGAAGAAGGGTGCGGTGGTCTACATCTATGATCCACCTGCCAATCGCAGAGGCCTTGCCCGGCGGTTGCAGGACAATGTCAGCTGGCATGGCCCGGCCACTGTGGTGTGTGTGGAAAGGGATCGACGCCTTCCAGGTCGCATTTGGGTGCGTCTTCGCGGCCGAGTCAAGTCTGTGCCACTGGAAAAGATCCGGCTTGCGACAAATGAGGAGCTGGTGAGCGGACAGTTCATCAATGAGGCACTTCACGAATTGCACGACGAGCTCACCTCTGGAAAGCTGCGTGCAACGGAGGTGGACATGCCGATGTTGGAAGATGAGACTCCAGAAGTGCCTCCGGAACTGAAGGCGATCCCCGAAGAGGACTCTTCGTCTTCTTCGGACTCTGGAAGCTCCAAGGAAGGCGCAATGGATGAAGACCATGAGACTGATCGCATGCGGCTGGAGAAGCGGCTTTTGGATGATGTGCCATTGCAGTTCCGAGCCGACAGGGCTTCCTCTTCAGCCGCTCAGTCTCCAGAGAGCCAAGACCGGGAGCCACATGCGCTAGCTCCCTTTTCACAAAAAGCAGCGCCTCTTTGAGAACCTGAGCAAGTCGTTGTCTCCGCCCACGCCCATTCAAGAAGCTCGAGTTCGGGGACAATTGGAAAGAGCCTTTGAGCAGCTCAAGACTGCGCGCCGCACATTGAACAATGCTCGCCCTCGACCCAAGGCTGCTGCGAAAGAGGTGACCCGTCGTCGGGCTCCGCAGACTCCTATTGCGGCTGTGCATAGTCCAACAGAAGAGGAGCCTGCTCCAGAGCAAGAAGGACGTGAAGATGTGCTGCTGGTCTCTACTCCGATTCAGGAGCCAATTGAAGATTTGACAACGAGCCCATGGTGCTCCCTGCAGGCTGGCCTCACAAAGGTGGAAATGCCGTCAGAGAGCAGCAGTGAAGACTCAAGTATCACCTTTCCTGACGGCCCCTATGTCCCTGACGAGGTCGGCACTTTTGCGGATGAGCGCCTTGCCTCTTACCTGAACCGCATCCGCTCTGACGAGAACGAGACTTTGGAGCTCGAGAAGGTGATTGAAAACATCGAGACCGGCCAGACTGAATATGGCACGTATGTCACAGAGGTGTTGCAGCAGCACGTTTTGTGGACGTCAAATGAAGTGCTCGCTGGCCAAGACATGCCCGACCGCCTCAAGAAGAACCTGGAGGAGGAGCAGAAGGTCTTGGACCAAGCCAACTTGATCACTGGGAAGGAGCGTGTCGAGATGGCTTGGAATCAATTGGATGATAGTTGGCGCCAAGCCTTTGTGAATCCCATCGTGAAGGGCTTCAAGGTGTATTTTGATCATCAAGCTCTTGCTGGAGTACTTGAAGGTCAATGGGTGGATCCTCAGCGAATTTTGCCTTCAAGGTTGGTGCTCACCAACAAGGGCGGCCCAACACTGGAAGAGGCAGAGCTCAAGGCCAGATGGGTCTTTGGGGGTCATCGCGATCCTGATGCCGGAAAGTATCCCACTTCAAACCCAACGGTGTCATTGGTGGGTCACAACTTGCTGAACTTTGTGGCGGTGCAAAAGGGCTGGTGTGTATCCTATGAGGATGTCTCAGCGGCTTTTCTTCAGGGACAAGGTCTTCCTGCCGAACGCGAGATCTATGTGAAGATCCCCCGAGGCTATCCCGAAGAAGCTTTAGCTGAACTACAAAAACTCATTGGCCCTGGCATGCGCTCTGATCTGGTGCGCCTCTTGAAAGGGGGGTTGGGTCCGCCAGAATCCCCTCGACTGTGGTACTTGGAGTACAAGAATACTTTGCTCAGCTTGGGCGGTCGTGAACTCAAACTTCTACCTGGTTTCTTTGTCTTTGACGATGAAGAGGGCAACCTCATTGGAATGGCCTGCATACATGTTGATGACACCCGCTATGCAGGATCTCCCGCTGCTGACAAGATTTGGGATGCCCTTCATCAAAGACTGAACTTTGGAAAGAAGCGATTGGCGACTGACGGATGGACCAAGTTTTGTGGTCGTTTTGAACGTCAGGATCCGGCCACTCTGGAATTCTTTTACTCCATGGATGAGTATAACCTGAACATCCCCTTTGTCGAGGAGCGTTCAAAGACCGATTTGGAGCGACCTCTGACTCCCTTGGAACGCAAGGCCATCAGTTCGGTGATTGGGCAGTTGGCCTGGTCTGCGAGGCAGTGCAGACCCGATCTGAGCTTCGGGTGCTCTCATGTCCTTCAGCTGGCGGGCCAACAAGATCCTTTAGCGCTTCAGTGGCTCAATAAGGTGGTGAAGCGCGCCCGCATGCTGATGGAGATGCCGATCCGTCATTTGGGCTGCGAGCTGGATGAGGTTGTCTTCTTGGCCGTGAGCGACGCCGCCTATGCTTCGCAGCCTGGTGGAGGAAGTCAAGGCGGACTGATGGTGGGGATCGCCAATCCTTTGATCCAGGTGGGCAGCTCCAAGGTGGCCTTTTTGGAGTGCCAGTCATCCCGTCTTCAACGAGTGGTTCGCTGCTCCATGTCAGCGGAGCTGTCAATGGCAGCAACAGCATATGAACACTGTGACTATTTGAGGGCCGTTTTTGCTGAGGTGATGCGACCTCAGTTCCGGCTGTCGCAGTGGAAATTCCACGCCAGTCACTGGCGCAACATTTTGGTGATGGATGCCAAGGTGGCCTATGACGCCCTCAACAGCGAGACTGCCCCCACGGACAGGAAGCTGATCGTGGACATTGCAGTTCTTCGCGAAGCCTTGGAGGACACGGCGGAGAGCGGGTTTGTGAGGTGGGTTCCAGGCAAGGAGATCCCCTCGGATGGCCTTACAAAGTGGTACGGCAATGGAGCGCTGGAGAGAGTGCTTTGTGAAGGCCGTTGGTCTCTGATGGACACGGAGACGGCTGCAGAACTTCGCCGACAAGTGGCAGTTCGCAAACGCCGTTGTAAAAAGGCCAAGTTGTAGCAGTGCTGAGACCAAGGGGGTTTTGTGTCGAAACGGGCACATTCAGCACTGCCATCCGCTCACAGCCATTAGGCTCCGCCAGGTGTGTAGGAAAATGGGGCGCTGATGCTTTTCTAGTATTAGATAGTATTAGATATATAGTATTAGATAGTATTAGATAGTATTAGACTAGATAGTATTAGATAGTATTATAGATAGTATTAGATAGTATTAGATAGTATCAGTATACCTGACTGGTAGTATCTGGTAGTATCTGGTAGTAACTAGTAGTATCTGGTGTATTTGTTCGAGTCTACTTCTTTTGGTGTCAAGATCCCATCGGATCATCGACAGGTGCAACTTCTCCCAGGCGGATGAGATCGAGCCGAAATTGCCAACCACATTGTTCTATTTGTTGGATATTCTCCGCAAAACACTATGCATTTCTTACTTCTTAGATTCTTTGCAACTCTTCTACTAAAATCATTTTTTCCTTGGAGTATTGGATGTGTTGGAGTGGGGATCAGAGCTTTGGAGGGTCCTGGAGGGCTTGAGTTGCTCACTCTTGCAGAGATTGGTAGACTGTACTCGTACGGCGTTGTCCCAAGCAGGCCTCAGTCATTCTTCCAAGACATCGTCAATGAGATCATCGCTGTGGGCTATGAGGTGGGAAGTCTGAATATTGATCATGCCAAACAGAACATTTTCACATATTTTCACAATGAGGTCATGTTCAAACCTGTCGTTGATTTTCCGAGGCTTTCAGAGGTTGCATCTTTCGTAAGTAGCGAAGAAGTTGAGACCTCAGAATGATGTCAAGCAGGACATCTTGACAAAATTGCTGCCAGTGTGTCGCAAATCTGCCACCTTAGATTTCCCTCGCTATTTCACGTCATTTTACATACAAATGACAGATGATGATGATGAAAGTATGGATTCCTCAGGATTCTAAAAATTTCTTGTATGTACCAGTGAATATCAGTGAATATCAATGAATATCAATGAATACTAATGACAAACACAAGCCAATGTGTTCAGATTCTGAGGCACCTTGTGGCCTTGTGAACTTGTGAGTGCTTCTATGAGCTTGGCCACAGTAGGACGATAGCACATGCAGGACCAGGGGAAGCACCAGACAAATGTCTTCAACTGTATCAAACAAGTAGGGTTTTGGTGTGTTGTGCAGCTTTTCTCCATTATTTCTTCATTTTTTTTCAGCCTCTGGACCTGCATACCAAATAAAAATATGGAAGAAGTGTTTGTCTATTGCTGGCCGAAAGCAATACCAGTTAAGGATCAGAGATTTTGCGATTTGAGGAACAGCAGTTCGCGACGAACTCGCAACGAGGCTTTCCAAAGCTTTCTCGGCATTTTTTCTGCGCGTTCCGAGTTTTTCCATGTTTGCCATGTTTTTTTGATGCAATTTGATGATCTGTTTGACACCTGCCAGAAACCAGAATGAACTTCGCATTTTCAACCCCCGAAATTAAGGGAATCCTCATTCTCCGACTTGCAACACAATGGCAGTATGTCAAGTGGCAGACTTTTCGACGCAAAATCCAAGCTTGGTCGGGTCGGCAGTGCCAAAATGCTGGAAACAAAAACGTTTTCTGCCATTTGCTGGTCCAAAGTGCCCAGTCCCAGGGTGTAGGATGGTTTGGGGACGAGATTACACCGCATCACTACATTTGATTGCAACGACTCACTCTGAAACATACATCTTCCTGTTGTCAAGCAAATGAGGATACTGACATATTATACTATTATATATTATATTATGATATATAATATATATTATGATATTATAATACTACAATATTATAATATTATAATATTACAATATTATTATATTATAATTGTATATTATATTATAATTGTATATTATGTTATAATTGTATATTATATTATATTATATTATATTATCATATATAATATAATATTATGATATTATAATACTACAATATTATAATATGTTGATATTATAATATTATAATATTATAATATCATAATATTATAATTGTATATTATATTATAATATATTATATTATAATATAATATTATATTATATTAGATTATATCATATTAGATTATATCATATCATATTATATCATATTATATTATATTATATTATAGTATCTTATGTTGTATCTTATATTGTATCGTATATTGTATTATATCATATTATGTTATATTATATTATATTATAT